TTGTGAAGTTAAAAACTTTGAACACAATCTATTATCTTAATAAGAATAGGAGGGGTCAGTGTTATTACCAAAATATACATCCCCTTTAATTTACACTTGGATTTCAAAGTAATATATTTGTAATAAAAAAATTATTTCTTTAAAAAAAATTATGAGTTAATGTGGAAAAGTGCACAACTTGCATTTATTGCAGCACGTTTCTCCATGCAACTTTCTCTTTTACTCACATACTAATTTTTTCAAACTTTCGACTTCACAGATTCATTATCTCTCTTTCTCCAATTCTCAATTATCTTTTGCATTTTTTTCTTCCACAAATTTCTTTTATCATCATTCATTCTTCTTCCTTAAACTTCTTTCTTCATCCAAATCTTCTGGATTTTTTTACTAAAAAGGTAATACTTTTTGGCCATTTTTGTTAGATGAAGCTTATTATAGTCTTGTTGGGTCGAAGATAATATTTTTTGTTTGATTTCTGATTACACCTTACTTCGAATTTTTTGGTGTTATTTTGGGTATGCATGTTCACTATGTCATACCTCAAACATATTTGGTAAAGAGTAAAGAGGAAAAGGGAGAGAGAAAAATGGAGAGAAAAGGTGAAGCGTCAACGATGTATGTGGGTGCCACCTGGAACTACGTTCCATTAGCAACGACATATTGCTACAAATGCTTAATTTTAATCACTGATTTTAATTTTGATGTGGTGTAAGAACAAAATATGATATGTGAGTTTGAGAGTGAACAAAGAACTAATCTACTCTGAATTCACTTTGTAAGCCTTTTATTACACTTTACTAAATACATTATCCAATTTTTATATTATGTGTATGAGTTGATTTTTTTACTTTACTATTGCATTATATGATCTCTTATGTGTTTCAGTTAGTTATATGTTTTTTTTGTATATTTGTACTAAGCATATATATCGAAGTTAAAGTATAATATATAGTATGTATCTTTATTTTCTAACCCTCTCTAATTACATATATACGATTGCTTATTACTTCAATCCAAACCTTTTAAGAAGCTAATCCTAGATCAAGAGCTTTTACACGCAAAAATGACATGATCCAAGATTTAGGTTATCATTATCATTCGGTAATACCATTTTGTGATAATGTCAACCCATAACTTTAAAATATACATTTTGTGATACTTTCATTTTTATTAGGTTTAATTTCAAATTTTGGAAAAAGCTTAAGTAAGAACTTAAATATGAAAATACAGAGACAAAAGGTGTGTATCAACAATGCCCTCACCCAAAGAGGGAGACGTGGATCTTAAGGTAATTTCCAACATTCCCTATATATATTCTTCCTTCTCATTTCTCTAACTTTCTAATTTTATTTCCAGTCATATTTCCATTATGCCTCCATAAGTGGGTTAGTTAACTCTAACTATAGTACAATCTTCAATCTATTATTTAGTTTTGTTCTATCTTCAATCTATTATTTAGTTAGCTCTAACTATTGTGACATTTGCGTTTCCAAATTCCCTTGATCTCTTCGCAAATGACCCGTGAGAATTGATCTTCAATTCAAGTTTATTACTTTTTGAGTGAAAGGATGAAGATATAATGTCGTTGCTTTTCTTGAACATGTATTTGTGCATTGGTTAGGTTTCAATTGCGCGGACTTCCAATTGCATATACTTCTTGCTTTAGCAAAGACAATGGATTTTGAATTTAGAGAGTCTTCTCATGAACAAAGGCAAAGGTAATTCCTACATAAAAAACACAAGTGGAACAAAATTATGTTAGGTTCCATTTCCATTATTTGGATTGTTTAAGATAGAATGAAGTGGAACGGAATAAGCATTCATCAATTTCAGGCTCAAAGATAACATTAGTATTTGACAACTGATATTGTTTCTTCTTTGGATAATATAGACTATTATGTGACATATCAAGATTGGAGGCTAAGGTTGAGAGGCTTGAAGGATAATTGCAAATCAAAGACATGGACATCTATGAATCACAAATACGGATATGTGGATAATACGCTGATATGCAATTTTCCTAAATTGTAGGATACGATACGTTCAGGGATACGTGTATAAAATAGTAAAAAATATATAAAATATGATGAAATTATAAGTGTAAATCAAAATATATAAAGTAGAAAGTATAATGGAAATTGCAACCCATTGTCCTCCAAAATTCCAAATTTCAAAACTAGAAAATATAATAGAATAATTAATAAATTTGCTTATTCTCTAGCCCTAGAAATAAAAAAGGTATCAATTTCATCTCCTCATTGACCATCATATGTAAAGAGGACAACTTCTACTTCTGGTTCATCAAGAGACAGTGTTGCCACTTGAAGAGTTCCAGCACTATCAAAGTCTTCCCACGCATCTCCAGCAATGTCCCACATCTTAGTATCCACTTGCTTGTACTCTTCACTTTTCCTAGACAAGAGTCGCAAATAAGTATGCACATAAACCAAGTCTTCTGCTCTTTTTTGGTTTCAACTTGTTTCTTTTCTCTTAGTGAATGAATGAATATGTGCTCCAATTCCTTTCACAACATGAGGAGGAGCAAGGCTGCATAAGAAGCTTCAAAGCAAGCTTTTGAATGAGAGGGGCGAAAGAATCATACAACACCCACCAAGATTTAGGGTCCAATCTCCACATATCTTCAATTGAGTCAAAATAATCAAAATTACCAGACTTCGATGAGAAATTTGCATATTCGAGTGAAACTTGTTTTCTATCCTCATCATTTCTAAACAACTTTTTCAAGCACTTATTTTTCTCCATAGAAATCTCTTCATCCTCGTGAGGGGCATGCCTATTTGGAGCCTATTGAATCCACTAATAACTATAGTACCTATAAACAATGAAAAAGTTATATATCTAATTTGTATTTGTAGTATATTTACAATAAGCAACAAATAATTAGAAAAATTAAACTTAAAATATTATTTTTACCTAAGATTTAAGGAGTGAGCGATATAATGGAGATGAGTGCAACTTTTGGTCCATCTAGCAATTAGGATTGAATAAAGAACATCATAAAATGACAATGAATCACTATTTATATCTTTCCCCCATGCCTAAATATAGATGACCTCACTTTCTCTATCATAGTATCCCACATCTCATAGATCAAATGAAGTGTGGGGCTGTCTATATCACAAGCTCTAAGCATACTATATATAGGTCTGGTAAAATCTAAAATGTATGTAATTTTGTCCCATAACATGTCATTCAAAATATGTTTTTTCACAGCTTGAGCCTTTGGTGTATGCTCTATATCACCCTATCTATAGGGATCCCATTCTTTACTAATAGCCATTGATTGTAAAGAACGCTTCAAAAATTTAAACATTTTCAACATCACTATAATTGAGGCAAAACGTGTTTCAGCAACAACAAGCAATTTTAAACTCGAGAAGTGATTAAACATGGTTAACCTCATTGTGTGGCTCATTATAAAGTTCCTAACATAGCCAACCTGATCATCAACTTGAGTAATCCAAAAACATTCCCCATAAACTAACTCATTTCTTTCAGTTTTCTGAGGATCACATATATTCTTTAATGTAAGATTCAATGTATGAACAACACAAGGTGTAACACCCTAAATTTTAGTCTTTAAAATTATAATATCAGTCCTGGGATTCTCGCTTGAGTGAGGGATTCTCGCATGGGAGAGAGAGGTTCACCTGGGAGGGTGAAATCCTGGGCTATACTAATGGATTCTCGCCTGAGCGAGAGTTAGCTCGCTTGAGCGAGAGTGGTCTCGCCTGGGCGAGAAAAGTGACAATTTGGACCTGTCGAGACTGTAAGATTCTCGCCTGAGCGGAGAATCCACGCTTGAGCGAGAGATGTCTCCCCTGGGCGAGAGTTCCCTCGCCTGGGCGAGGGGTCAGATCTGAGTTTTTAAAATGGGCGGGATATTCTCGCTTGAGCGAGAATGAGCTCGCTTAAGCGAGAACCCGACGCTGTTACAGGGGACCCCAAACACATTTATAAGGGTTAACCTAGAGAAAAGTGAGAGAATGGAGAATTTTCAAGAGCAAGAAGGCTTGTGAGTCATTTAGAAGCTTGAGAAGAGGTAGATCTCTTGATTCTAACTATCTTCTTCCCTTTGAAACTTGTTTTGGGTATGTTGGATCTCTTCTCAAAATGATAGAAACCATTGAAACTCACCCTTTTGAGTTATGATTCGTTTTATGTTATTTTATCTTGTAAACTCTTGGTATAGAGTTAGTATTTCAAGAAATGAGAGGGTTTGTGGGTTGATTCATGAAAACCCCAAAACCCTAAAGTGAGAATGTGGTTAAAGAAGAAAATGGGTAAAGTGCTAGAGGTAGAAGATGAATAAGCTTTCTAATGTTGAAATGTGAGATGAATATGTATGTTTTTGATGTTGTAAACTTATTATGAAAGTAATTTAGAAACATTGAAAATGTGTTAAATATCTTGTATGGTTAAATAATGCAATATAAGCTGTTTATATGATATTTGGAATAAATGACTAACATTGTGTTATATGGTGGGATGAGGAAAGATCCTAAAGTTGGAGGCGGTGTCGGTGGAACTTACGAAGTCGCCAAAAACCAAACTCAACACTCACCGAGGTAAGGATAAGTCTTTAACTTATGCACTGTGATAGAAAATGCGTGGATTTTCTGATGTAGATAATGAAATGTAATGTAAATCACTTAGTCGTTACAAGCATATATGGGTACGTTTGTAGTGATGAGGAGTTGATTTACCGTTTATGTATTGGTGGAGTGCCAATGAAAATAAAACTCGGAATAATGAAATGAATTGTAAATCACTTTGTAGTTATAAGCATATATGGAAATGTTTGTAATGATGTCGTGTGCATTTACCATTTGTGAACACCCAATTTTGTCCGGCCTATGACATGGAATCAAAAAGATTCAAAATAAAAGGGAATATAGCTTCTAGTTTGGGTACATAGAAGCCTATAAAAACAGTTCGTGTAAGAAGTAAACGAATGGTTCTTATTGAAATGAGCGTACATACAAGTTGTTGTAGTATGTCAACAACTAAGCTACAGTTAGCAATCCAAAGACCAATGTTCTAATAAGAGGATAATAATGACCAAGTTATTTCTTGATAAGAAGGTCATTTATGTGCATAGAGATCTCTGTTTTCACTCTTTACATTTGACACCAATATTGTACAATTTGTTTCACATTAATTTGAGAAGAATTCGTTGCTCAAATTATAGTCAAGGCAACCAGGTGTAATTCTCATGGACAAAACTTTCTTTGTTGTTAAGACATCTATGACAGGATTTGCTTGATCATTGGAGCATTGTACCTAACAGTATCCATTGGTATAACAACTAGCAAATGCAACAAGGGACCCTCGGTACTTTAGTGTTCTTCTAAAGAAGCTCTCCTGCAAGGTTAAAATATAGAAGTCAAAGAACCAAACAAGAAGGTAATTATATTTCCTAGTGAGACACTAGGCCAAACAGGAACATAGTATGATACTAAAGCTATATCACACCCCTTGATACACTTGAATTCCACAATGAAACAAACATACTCTAACAACAGAAGGAACACAAGTTTGAGTTTCATTGTATCAAATCAAGATGAAAAATTATTTCAGGGAAGAAGAAAGTGACTACTAAACCGACAAGTCCAAACAATGGTTCACACAGTCTTGCTCATTCTGGTTTAAGGCAAGGAAAATGCATTTACAAAAATAATATTTCTAAATAAAATTGATGAAACCATGGCTGTTGGCATCTCTATTTTCAGTTACATAGCAAATAGTCAGGCAATAATTGCAAATAGGGACAGACTTAAGAGAAAAGAAGTGAGATCAACCATGAGTCAATCACAAATAAGGAGGGCATTAGAGAAATGTTGTTTGACATCTTTTCAATTACCCATTCAAGAAGCAAAGATGTTACAATTAAACCAGTCATAAGCTACAAGCCAGGAGTCACACGTAAAGGGCAAATAAATAGAAGCAAAACCAGAATGATTCCCCTTATAGTTACACTGCCTCACAGTAATGGTCAGCAGTAATGGACAGTTTTGATAAGCAAGATTAAATGGAGCAATCAAAGGCAGAGAGAAGTACAAGCTAGCAAGTTAATGGCTCTAATTGCACTCATAGCAGTCATCATAATTGATAGTTGCCTCTGAACAGTTGGCAACTGAAAGAATTTCACAAGAGTCTTAACTCTATAAAAAGATCAAGCTACAAATACATGGGGGGGGCAGAAAAATTTCATAGCTTCCATCCAGAGAATTCTCATCTGCCTTATCTATACATCACACCCAGATCAATCATCTACCTCTCCACCACACAATCCCATCCGAACATACACACAAAAAGCATAAACCTTCCTCACACACTACACACACCAAACAGGGGACATCATACACACTGAAAGCAGAGAATACACATAAACATATCACAGACCAACCATCATAAAACTCTCCAAGAACTTCATACTCTTCGCTATCTATCACATACAAGTTCCTAGTTCTTCAAGTCAACAGTTCAAAAACCAGTTCACACATTCATACCAAAAAGCCATCCTACATACACTATATTCCTCAATTTCTACACACAAAGGGGGCTAACACAGATATACATATCACATATACTCGTCCCTAACTCAAAAGAGAGGCAACCACATATCGATACACACACTCTGATATCAAACAAGCAGTCAAAAACAGCACAACAGAGATGCATTCATCGACACCACATCTACGGCAACCAAAGAAGAACATACCTACCGAACATACATCATATACATACCACATGACAAATCACATGGCAATTAGAGAGCACTATACATAGAGATGTCAAAATAAAGGAGGGAAAACGAAAAGGGGTGGTAAAACATACCTTTCGAACTACCGTTACAATGGGTGGTTCTTGCTGAGCGAGGTCGATTGGGTAGCTTCCTTCCACCTTCACGGTTTAGATTCAATTAAGGTTGGAAATCACCGCATATCATCATCAAGGGTCGCATAACATAATTGGAGAAGGATAACTCGCCATTAATGCCTTTCCTAGTCGTCGCCGCTGCCTTTCGTCACAACCTCCGCTACTGCCTGGCGTTGCCATCGCTACCGAAACGAAAGAGAAGAGAGGAGAGGTTGCGAAGAAATGAGATGGAGAGGATAAGAATAGAGGTCGACATGGAGCACCATCACCACCTCTCGTCGGCGAGAACCCACTGCCGCTGCCGGAGACGAAGGAGATAACGGATTGGGGATTTAGGGATTTCACTTCCCCGCTCCCCCTTCATTTTTTCACGTTCAACGGGTTCTGAGGGGAAACTTCATGTTATCCCTAATCCCATTTATTTTATTTATTAATTAATTAATATTTTATATTGTATTATTTACTTAAGCATATTTATTTGTTCCACCATTATTTTATCATACAACGAATTAGTTAATATGATTATATTTTTATTTGGAGTGCTACAAAGCTCGATTTAAAACATTACATAATGACTTTCAAAAAGAGTTTGATAGTCCGATCGACGGCCCGTGTTGTTTCTTCCTTTCCGCTTTAGAAGTGGAAAGTCGGTGCACGACCAGTGTTGTCTCTTTACTATCAACTCTAGTTTTATAACAGAAAAGTACTTCTAAAAATCTTTCACTAAATTAAGTGTTCCTTAATGACTTTCAAAAAGAGTTTGATAGTTCGGTCGACGGCCCGTGTCGTTTCTTCCTTTCTGCTTTAAAAGTGGATAGTCGGTGCACGACCAGTGTTGTCTCTATACTATCAACTCTAGTCTTATAAAAAAAAGTACTTCTAAAAATCTTTCGCTAAATTAAGTGTTCCTTAATGATTTTCAAAAAGAGTTTGATAGTCCGGTCGACGACACGGTGGCTCGATGCGGAAAATAAATTGCGAGCTCTGTGGCTCGATGCGGAAAATAAATTGCGAGCTCTCAGTGGCTCGATGCGGAAAATAAATTGCGAGCACTCAGTGGCTCGAGGCATAAAATAAATTTGTTGTTTGATTAAATAACGTTCTAGCATCTGAGTCTAGTAACGTCATAACATTTCGGCATCTGAATCCGACAATGTTTTTTTCTTTTAAAAACGTTCTAGCGTCTGAGTCTAGCAACGTCATAACATTTCGGCGTCTGGGTCCGACAATGTTTTTTCTTTTAAAAACGTTCTAGCGTCTGAGTCTAGCAACGTTCTAACATTTCGGCGTCTGAGTCTGACAATATTTTTTGTTTTAAGAGTGTTTTAGCGTCTGAGTCTAGCAACGTCATAACATTTCGGTGTCTGAGTTTTCTTTTGAGAACGTTCTAGCGTCTGAGTCTAGCAACGTCGTAACATTTCGGCGTCTGAGTCCGACAAAGTTTTTTCTTTTAAAAACGTTCTAGCGTCTGAGTCTAGCAACGTTATAACATTTCGACGTCTCGGTCCGACAATGTTTTTTCTTTTAAAAACATTCTAGCGTCTGAGTCTAGCAACGTTATAACATTTCGGCGTCTGAGTCCGATAATGTTTTTTTCTTTTAAAAACGTTCTAGCGTCTGAGTCTAGCAACGTTATAACATTTCGGCGTCTGAGTCCGATAATGTTTTTTGTTTTAAGAGCGTTCTAGCGTCTGAGTCTAGCAACGCCATAACATTTCGGCGTTTGGGTCCGACAATTTTTTTTCAAAAATTTGATTGATCACCTTTTGAAAGTGAGACGATGATGCATGTTTTGTAAATGTGAATGTATGAGAGTATGCTATGTGATGCATGAAACTCCTATATGCATGAGTATGCATTGATTTGAATTTGTGATGTGTATGTATGTCGTGCACGATGCACAATGATTGAAAGTATAATATGTTTGTCAAAAAAAGTATTGTATGATTTTTGGTTGTGTTTGTGTGATGAAATGGTGTAAGAACCACGATTATTTGATGATTTGATCAAAATAACATTTAGTTTTTTTGAAAAATTGGGTTTTGAATTTTTTTTTTTTTTGATTCATTTGTCTTCAAAATTGCTCTTTAGCACCCTCACAACTTTTGATTTCAATACATATTTTTTTTTTTTGTCTTTGGTTGGCAGAGCTGTTGTTGAGTTGATTGCTTTCTGAGATCACCTTGTTCCTTCGAGAAACTGCCCTAGTTTGCAGTAGGTGAATCAGCGAAATGCCCCAGTGTTTTGTCATAATTTATTGGAAGAGTAGGATGTCCAATAAATTGCCCCAGTATCTTTATCATAGAATTTTGGGGAATTCTTTCAAACATAGGTTGTGACTCAAACTTCCAGTAATTGCTTCAGTTTGCATGGTTGCAGATAAGCAATAATGAGTTTTTCACTTGAGGGTGTTCACTTATTTTCCCTAATTTTTGCTCAAAGTACCTATTGTAGGCATATGTCGGGAATTCTCTCACTTTATTATGATACTAAGTCACCATTGAAGGTTTTCGACTTAGCACCACTCTCATTTTCTTAGGTTGCCCTTGTGGGTTTTCAACCTAGCACTCTTTTTTGTTCTTTGTTTGTTTGTTTTTTTTTCTCTTTTTTATTTTGAACACCTCAATTGTGATAGTCTTAAGTGCATCAGAGCTTGAGTCGCTCCCGAAGCTGACGATAAGATCATTCCCCTTTTTGGCTAAAGGATCAGAGGTTGATCCATGATGAACAACTTCAGCATTGCCCCAGTTTGGTGTGTTGGATGTCATCCCACTCTTCGTATTGTCAATTGCAGGCTTAATCTGGTGCATGCCTTAGGCAAATTGAATCCTCAACAAGGTCTTTTAAGCTTGTATTTTGGCCTGGTTAAGGGTTTCCAAGAAAAAGGATAAGGTTCGAAAATGTGTTTCCCAAACCCCTTTCTACATTCTCCTTTCTCTATTGTCTTATTTCAATAGTTTTCTGTCATGACATTCAAGTACTAAGATTTTGTTGGATTCTTTGTGATGTGAGAGGTGAAAGCCTAATATTTAGGCGATAATTTTCCTGAGTGAGAGTAATTTATACATGTTGTGATTATAATGTTGTGATTATAATTAAATTAAACAAAATATTGTATAATGTGTATACAAATCCAAATAATATAAGAGTAAATGCGTCTTCATTATTTTTTGTTCCTTACAAAAAATATAAGAGTTACGTTATTTAAACATCTCGTTATAATTATTAATGTATTTTGTAATGAACCAAAAAATAATAAAGAGACACTGAGGTGGTGATTTATACAATATTTTGTTTAACTTAATTATATTCACTATACGTTTTTCTTTTAAAAGATTGCACTTAAATCTCATGGACGGATAGTTCGTGTAATATATAAGGGTGGTTTGTATAAGTACAATACAATGAAGAATGATTTATGTAATTTCATTAAAACTGAGGGGGTATGAACGTAATTTAATCTATATTTATCCATCATCGAAAGATTGGATTTTGATATGAGAATTATGATATGTGATTGAGAAAAAACAAAAGGGTGTGTTTTGAATTGTGAAGTAAAAAAATGAATGATTTAAAGAAAGGCCACATTAATTCATACTCCAGAGATAGAGCAACACCACAAAGAAAGTAAAGGTAGAGGCATTTTTTGGTTGTGGACTTTGATCAAACATAAAGAAGGTGCTGTAACATTCAGGAACCTGTGGAATGAGATAGTTGAAAAGGAAAGGAAGAATTGTAATCTTCTTTAAATTGAGAGATTAGGAAAACAATAGTAAGAAGAAAGAGTCCAAAAGGTTCGCTCCAAAAACAGAATGGATTTTTTGTTCTTCAAAGAGAACATGATAAGGACATAGTACAACAACTCATTGACTTATCGTGAGGCTAATCAATTCTCTTTGGCTTCCAACCTTTGATTTATAAACTATCTTTGGGTGTGACACCTTTCACTATTACAGTTTCTTAACTTTTGTCATTTCCATCTTCAACCTTTTCTTCATGTTTCTTCACCTATTATTTTGTTTCATATTAAAGGCTTCCAAATCCATTTAAGCTAGTTAGTTTCTCCCCTAAAATAACAGACATCTTCAAGGACCCTTGGAAGAAGGTTTGAATCATATGGCTTCTAAAATATATATTTTTAAGAAATGAATTTTTAAGAAGTTAAATCAATCAAACAATAAAATATTGAAAAGTTATTATTACTCATACATTTTGTTTACCCAAAGTGCATAAAATCTCTAAACTTTTGTCTTTTGAAAATAGTCACCTTAAACTTTTCTTCTTCTTAATTATCCCTTTAACATTATTTGTTGGTAAAATTGGTCTCTACAAAAGATAATATTAAATTATTAATATTGTACCACTCATGCATTATGTTTTAATATTGATTATTAGATCATTATAATTTATTTATAATTTTTATTCTAATATTACCTTAGTTCCCTTTTAACCTTAAAATCTTCTTATCCTCGTCTCCTATTCAATCCTATAACATTTTCACGAATCCACCATAGCCAGCAACACAAATTCCACAATGACCACACACTAACACAAGTTCCCTTTTATGTCTTTTGAAAGTAACATTCTCCCAAACCCTCATTCTATTTTCGTAAGAGTTCTCAATCAAAATTTCATTATAGTCACATTAAAAGAAAGTGATGGTTGGCCTATACAAAACTTAAAGCTTAAAGATAAGGATAAATCAACTACAACAACATAAAGACTCATATTGAAACTTCAAGAAAAGATCATCAAGGCTAGAGTAATATCTTTTTATTTTAGGTCCTAAGATATTTTGAATGGGTAGAGTCTAAGTTGAGTAAACCTTATGATAAATCTCACCATATTAGAGTATGAATATAATATTAGAAATTATGGGTCACACATTTAATATTTGTATGTGTTTTTATTATTATTTTTTATTAGCCAAATTAAAGTAATTTACTTCAAGTAAAGTTTATGCCAAAATTGGAAATAAGAAAATCAAGTAGCATATCCTTTCATGGAAGGGTATGTAATTCTTATAAATAAGGGGTTATGGTCCCCAATTATAGACAATAAGATGAACCACAATATGATATAAGCAATATGCAAAACCAAGTCACTCTCTTCATCCCATTAGAGGAGAAACTAAGGCTAAAGGTGATCTACAATTGGAAGACCAACAAAGAACTTACATGTTCTACTATGAACATGTATTTGCATACAAGAAAAATGACATGAAGTTGGTGGATACTTGACAAAGAATGATATAAAGTTCATTCACCATATTTTATATGAATATATTAAGGTATGCTTCCACTCAAGTTCTAGTTTTATATATTTATTCTTGATGATTTGACACGAAAGATCTTGACTATATATGATGATAGTATTATTTATTTTAATGTATAAAGTCTTCCATCACTAAAGTCTAC